ACCACCATCGCCCCCTTCGTCCCGATCAAATAGAACTCATTTTAATCTAAAAACCATTAATCAACAATCAGAAGATAATCAATTATTTGCTTCCCTCCTCTGTGTGTCACTCCTTTTGCCTCATGAATCTTCTCATGACGATTCCATGGCTGCTCAGAGCAGGCAGACCCCAGACTGAGAGGAGCCTGCTGATGACACAATAATTGCCTCTTTCAAGCCAGAGATTTCTGTGGATAAAAGAGAAATAAATGCATAAAAGAGGGGGGCAGCTGAAAAGACAGTGGGTGTGGACGGGCGCCACGGCTCGTGCCACCCATCCAGACGGATGACTTTAATCATGAGAGATTAGACTCTATCCCGCACTCCTCTGCCTTCTTATCGACGCACGGCGCTTCACCTCTGATGAAACCCCGGTGCAAGGCTGTGTTTTAATTGTAGATAAGAATCGAGACTCCTTTGAGGATTGGCTTCTAAGTTTGCGCTGAGATGGTGTGGGGAACATAGTAACAGTCTACCCATCGCCTTTGAAAATGAGACAATTCCAGCCAGGCAATGCATGCTATAATTAGCTGAAACAACTGATAAAAATGACAGAACAGTATGGGTTTTTCTATTGCTGATAGTGATTTTTGAATTTCAGGATGGGTGATGATTGATGTTTTTGCCCTGCTGTTATTTTAGTTGACTGTTTTCTATTTTTGCTCATGATCAAAAATTCATGTAGGCATGACTGACCAATGCTCTGTCTTGCACTGAGGAAGTTACTGATTTAACTCTGAGACCAGAAACCGTTGCTAAGCAGAGCAAACTGACTCAAATCTTGATCATAAGCAGTTATTTTTCTTTGGAATGACATTTGACATCTAATGAAATAACTGGGAAAAAAAATATTTAAAAATAACAAGACATCTTTCCATTTTTTATTGTAGATATGTTTGTCCAGAACTTGTTCTCACTGCACATCACTGTCGCAACAGCAGCAGAGCGCTTGAAAAACCAGCCAAGTGTGCGCCGTCAAGGCCAGATGCCCATGCTCACAAAAATATTAAAATCTGTGAACCTCAAGTGAAAATGTTCAATGTCAGAAATTCTAACTTTGTATCGATGTAGGTCTTGCCCCCTGCTCTAATTATTCTTAATGGTGCTCTGTCGGGCTGAGGCCAGTCAAACGTCTACACCAAATTTGCTCATCCAGGTCTTACTGGACCCTCATTTGTGCACTGATGCCCAGTCATAATGGAGCAGAAAAGAATTGTACCAAAACAGATCTCACCCAGTTGGAAGAATGAAATTATCTGCAATGTGTTGGTGCATTAAGACTTCCTTTCACTGGAAGAACCTTTTCCCTAAAAGTTATGACTATTCCTCCACCAAACCTTCCATTTGGCACAATGTAGTCAGAAACCTCAGGGTTTCACTTCACTTCGTAGAACTCATCTCTAAGAGTCTAGTGGCTTTTACCTTTCACCACAGTGTGTAAGGCTTGGATACAGCCATGAATAGCTGTTCCATCACCCACTATGCACTGCTCTTGAGCTATACTGTGTTTCTTTGCATTTCCAAAGGTGTGCCACAGGGCCCATCTTTGGCTCCACTCTGTTCTCCATTTATATTAGTGATTTTCACCAGTTGTTAGTAAAGTTGCTGTGCATTTATAAGCTAATAACACTATATGCTTTTGGTCCATCCCATGAAACACTCCTTCAGTCTACAAAGCAAAGCTCCTTGGATATCCAAAACGCCTTTTTGAATTTGCAATCATAAAAGTCTAAATGCCCCCTCAACTTGGTCTTCACACTGCAGATGAAACGATCTTTGATCAAACAAAGTACAAACACTTAGGAATCTGGTTAGTTCATCCAAAGAAACTTGGATTTCTGTATAGAAACCTTGTCTGAAGCTTGGAGGTCTGTTGCTAACGACTTCAGAAAATTATCAAATCTTTCCCACCGTGGCCCTCAGCATGCAATGACCCCGCTCTCTGGTTGTACCTTCCCTCATAGCTGTGTCTTTTCCATTTAAATTTGGAATTTGTAGTTGTAAAGAAATGTTGTGACTAAGGCTGTATTTACACGGAGCTGCTACTTAACCTGTTCAAATTAGCACAATTCCTGACAAGGATTACGTGTTATCTGAGCACTTTGTTGGAGGTAGTCGTTTATTATGAGGTGGAAGCCAAGGGTCAACAGTGTATGTGATGTCATTCTAAAGTCACAGGACCATATAGTGTCCTTGCATGACAACTACAGGTGACACAGGGTGTCTTAGCGGTGCTGTCCAAACGTGGAACTTTTCCCAATCAACATTTGAAAACACCAGCAGTTTCCAGGCAATAGGCTTGTGTAAATGCAGCCTGAATTCACTGCACAAGTGGCTTCTTATCACAGCACCACATTGGGATTATCTGAACTTCTTAGCTTGAGCCATTCTCTCACAGATGCTGTCTGCAGGTATTTGTGCTAAGTTTATACACCTATGGCCAAGGATGTGACTGGAACTCTTAAATTCCATCATACGGACTGTTAACCCAATATCTTTACCAGTACAATGCATACCTGCAGGCTGTCATTTCTCCTGTCCATCATTTCTATATGTGCCGTCTCCATATGCCCACCAGCACTTCCTATTTGCATCCAGACAAAGTGTTGATCATTGTAAACAGTGCCAGCGCACTTCCTTTAAATCCATCAGCATTTCCCATTCTGCTATGCTACAAATGTAATTTGCAAGTGCAGCGATGCAGCTCTCTTACCAGGCTAAAACCACTAAAGCGTCACTAAGTTTGTAATTCCTAATTAGTTTTCCTCTCAGGTGCTGGTAATTGGTTCCAGTGCTTCTCCTGACTGCCTAATGGAGGTGGAGATCGTGGTGGAGCTGCGCCCACTGGGACTAATCAGCAGGGGGAGGGCTTGTAACGCAGCTGACCAGCAGTTCTGCATGCAACGACTTGAACATGAGCGATGTGTTCACGTCGATGTGACCTGAGAATGAGTTATGTGATATTTCAGAGGTAGCCAGTATGATATCAGTGTCAGAGAGCTGGGAGGAGCTCGTATAGGATCAGGATTCTTCAAACCCTGGCCCAGTTTGCATTATTTCTTAGAAAAACAATTAGAGAAATAAAATGTTGCCATATCAGTAGAAAAATTATTTCAGACTAGCATTACCTGTTCTGTGTTATTCAGGTTTAACATAACCACTCAGGTCTGTTGAACATCTCTTTTTGTTTGTTTGTTTTTGACAATATTCTCCAAAGAAGTCAAAGACTTAAATAGAAATGGTTAAGAATGTTTATCATTGGGAGCCAGCTTTAGTCAGCTTTAAACACTCTTTTACAAGGAAATCCTTTACACACTCTTCTTGTGTCAGAAGACGTTTTTCCAGACTTCCCCGCTTCTATTTTTCCTCCTGCTGTGTCAGTTTTCTTTAACACTTTCTGCTTCTTTATTGAAGTGTGCTAAGCTTCTGCCAAGTAAGTCTTGGAACTGTCTTTGGTAGTTCAGAAGTACTTCCTTATGCTTGTTGTGTTATTTTTCTTTTGACGCTTTGAAGACAGGAACAATAATGTATTCTTAAAGAAATTATGATTAAGAACAAAAGAAAATAATTTTAAAAGGGTGCTTTGTGAAAAGGATAGCTCAGATTGTAAGAAAATGATGTTAGTAATACTTTATGCACTTATGACAAATAAAAAAAAAATTGTCATAAATGAATTTGTATCATTCTTGAACTGCAGTTGGGGGCCACAAAAAAGTCCAAGGGCCACGAATGGCCCCTGAGCCACTTTTTTACACCTCTGTTTCAGTCAGTATGAATATGATTGGAATTGGTCTTTGTTTGTTTTATGACACACTCCTGTTTTCTGTTGCATGATATTTTGATCGTTGTTGAATTTGTTCTCAACTTACCTGGTCATGAAAAGCTTCAGAAGAGCAAATAAATCATAAAGAAAATTACCTCAATTGCTGAATTCACTTCTGTTTGTGTTTACAAATAAAATCCTACTGAAAAAAAAACATGACAGCACATTTCTTTTACTTGTTTCCAAGACAAACTATAACAGATCTGAAGTTGTAATTTGTAAAAAATAAAAAATAAATAGCCTCTGTCTCGCTGCCCTGTTATATGTTTGACTGTTAAATCACTCAATAGTCTGAATAATACAGGAGGCTCCATTAGTTGTGATCCATCATTTATTATTTAGAAGAGGATGAGGGGACGTCACACTGTGTGCATAAAAGCGACGCGATTTGACCTCATTCGCATGTTTTTGTTTTTGGTTTTGTTTTTTAACCTGCAGGTGGAATGGCTGAAAAACGACAAGCTGGTGAGTTCACTGACCGACGACAAGGTGGACACCCGGGCCGACTACGGCCTCATCATCAACGAGGCGCGCTTGTCCGACTCGGCCAACTACACGTGTCTGGCCAGCAACATCGTAGCGAAGCGTCGCAGCGCCACGGCGCCTGTGATCGTCTACGGTACGGCCGTAACAACCCGTCGCGCCGAAACATGTTTACACGGCACATTAGATCAATTTGTTTGGCTTCCCGTAACCTTACGCAACAGTGATTAAGAATCCCATCTCGAGGCTTCAGCTGAAGAGCGCCGTTTCCTCTTTATTCCAGCGAATGCATTATTCAACGAGTCAATTTACTGCCTCTCATTTAAAATCAATGCCTGCTGTATGAAAGGAAATAAGCCACTGTGTCTTAATCTCATTTAAAGGGAGTGTTGCTTGTTAATTATTTACTTGCCTGAAGCCTTGCGGAAATCTCGAGTTCGGCCCCCTTTCAAAGCGCTGCTCGAGATTTAGCTCCCCAACACGTAATAAACTGGGATCATAGAGTAAAGGGCTTCAGTCACGGCGCTAAGTGGTCGATTCCAACCTGTCAAGCTGTTTGAGTCTGTCGCTTTTAGAAATGGCATTTCTGCTTAATGGCTTTCTTTGCTTTGCACAGCTCCACGGCTTTATTTTAATACAAGAGCAGAGAACATTGAGCTGCCAATTAAGGAAAAGGGAGCCGTATATCCACCAATCTGCTCCCGCTGTTATGCATTGTTGCCCTGTGCCGCCGTTAAGCCCGCAGGACCATTAATAGCTCCAACCCTTATTAGAGCTTTAGAGTTTGCCAGAGTTCTGGAAGAGAAAAAGAGCACGTGTTGTTTTGCACTCACTCAACTGTTTTCTTTTCTTTCGCTTCTCTTTTCTAACTTTGCTGGAACTTTCTCCAGTGAATGGCGGCTGGTCGCTGTGGACGGAGTGGTCGGCGTGCAACGTGCCGTGTGGGCGGGGCGTCCAGAAACGCTCCAGGACCTGCACCAACCCGGCGCCGCTGAACGGAGGCGCTTTCTGCGAGGGCATGTCCGTGCAGAAGATCACCTGCAACGCGCTCTGCCCAAGTTAGTCCCACTTCTGATTTTCAGCGAAGATGAACTGAAGTCGGGATGCACGGTTTGATCCGCGGCATGTCAGTAGAAAACACAAAACTGGAGGAAAATGTGTGCGTGGAGGAAAACTAACACAGAGCATTTCTTAGGGAAGCATGGTGGTGGTACCAGCATGCTGTGAAGATACTTTTCCTTACTAAAGAACTTCAAGCTAATCAGAGTTGAT